AAAAGGGAAAAAAAAAAAAAAAAGAAAAAAAAAAAAAAAGAGGAAAAAAAAAACAAGAAAAGAAAAAAAAACAAAAAAGAAAATAACCGGGAAGAAAAAAAACAAAAAAGCAGGGAAAAGAAAATAAAAATAAACAAAAAAGAATGCAGATCTGTCGGTGCAAATATTCGATGGTCATAAGGTCGCCAGACACATGCCGGACCGGTATCCGAATCTTACGACCAGGAATTTTGGGGATCCTCCTGTAAAAAATACCATTATCGATCTACCTCCCGATATATGCTATCAATATGCTACTGATATGCTACAGTTATTTGGCGGATCTATGGTAGAATAACGGGTACATAATGGGAGATTTTTCTCCCAATATGTGCCCATTATTCATTGATTCAACCTGTGGTTCATCTTTTTGATGAACGCGCATGAAATCGAATGATTGATACATTTGATTATACAGTATCAGTGTAGCCAATCTTCTTAATTAAGGTAGATAATCATCTGATGACCAAACTATAGTCATTGGTCTTCTTGTAAACCATTTGATTGAGTTTCGGTTATCCCTTTGCAAAAGGGGCAGTGGAACGTTGGTTCATGCGGGGTCGGCCACAATGATTCACACCAAACTTCGGAAGCTCAATATACAGAATTGCCAATTAAGGTAATAACGATACACATATATAACAAATACAAATGAGGAAATAAGATGACGAATCTATAAAAATACAAATAAGGAAATAAAAAAAAGAAAATCGGGCAACACAACTGCCGTAGTGGATAAACCGAGTCGAATGTTTAATATTAATCCAAATAAATATTTTGTCGTTATATGTGTAATGTTAAATTGTTTAAGTATATTCGATATTATGTGCATACCTCCCATTCCATATAATGAATTATAATGTTTACATTTATTTTAACTTCAATTGAATTCTATAGTTAACGGCAGATGTAGATTGCATTCGTTCAGTATTTTCATAATCACGTTAAAGTCATCCTTCTTCGAAAAGTTCAAAATAATTATTTGAAAGCTTTTCAAAATACTCAAATGCTATTTTTTCACGTAAATTCTTAACGTAAAATTTATAAGTTTATTAATACTTTGTACTTGAAAATAAATAAAGCATCATAATGCATTAATTCATTAACGTTAATAGACTAACCGAAAAAGTAACAAATCAAATTAAATATTAATCCGTTCTTATGTAAATATAAATCTATTGAATATCGAAGTTAAACTAATGGTAATACAACAGTTATCTAATTTTTTTTAGACTTCTCATGAATTTGAAATACTTCATAATCGTTTACAAAATAATATTGTATACTGCTGTCAATACCGATTGGTTTTTCATAATATCTTGAATGATTAGTAGAGCAACCATTATTTTGCTCATTATAGTTGCATGTCTAACCTCTGCCATTCTTTTTGTAACCATTAGTTTCAGTTTTATGCTATTCGTTTTAACACCACAATTATGGTGGGTAATGTGGTATTTATTTCTTTTTAGGGGTTTTTATCATTCTGTTTTTTTGGTTTATGTTTTCACCTTGTTTCTTTCCTTCTGTGCTCTTCTTTAGAATTATGTGGTACATATTTTAACCTTTTCACTTTCTTTCTGTAATCATCATTATCATCAGTTTTGTGCAATGTTATAAGTGGGTTGGGTGTTACCATTATACGTTTTGTATTTGTGATAACCATTTCATCATTATTGGAGGTGTCATTGCTTTTGATATGCTTATTTTCTCTTGGTACTGTTATTTAAAAAAGTATGTTGCTAGAGCTAGGGTGAGAATGAGTTTTTTAGTAGGGTTAGAGTGAGTTAGTTGGTAGGGT